GAATTTAAAATGGAATGGACTATTAAAATCTTTTAAGAAGTGTTCAAGACCTTTTTAGAAGATATGCAAGGTAATTAAAAACAAAAACCAAGATATTCCTATATTAATTGAGGTATTTCTCCATCGAGTATTTCTCGAAGAAAAAGAGCTCCAATTCATCGTTGGGTAAATCCCAAATAAATAGTTCAAGTAGAATCTACTTGAACTATTGGCTTGATATCAAATAGATGCATTAAACATTTACCAAGGAGAGTTATTAGTTACATACATATGTTGCATGTTGAACTGCTGCTTGAAACTTGGTTATTACGCTTCGAACTTGAGGGAGGCAAAAATTATAGTTATCCTGAGACATCATAAGCCGCCTGATTTGCCTGGCAGCTACAGACCAATTAGTCTCTTGAATGGCCTTTCAAAAATTTTCAAGAGGGTAATTAAGACCAGGTTGGTAGCTTTTATTGAACAGAGCAGAGTCTTACCAAATGAACAATTCGGTTTCAGGTTGGGTCACAATACCCTACACCCGCTTTTAAGAATTAAAAATTTTAAAAAGGAAAACTTTAGCCATAGCAGAAATGGAATGGTATGGTCACACTTGATGTTAGTGCGGCATTTGACTGCGTGTGGCATAAGGGTCTTGTTCATAAACTTCATATTTTGGGTTTTCCCACATACTTAATTAAAATTATTAAAAACTTTTTATTGAATAGAACATATAAAATACATATTGATAAAATAGAAATTAACTTGTTTGAAATTAGTGCAGGAGCCCCGTAGGGCTCATTATTAGGTCCAATTTTATATGACATATTTACGTCGGATATTCCACATTTTCAAAAATCTCTTTTATCAATATTTGCTGATGATACGGTTGTGCTTAAATCACTTTGGATTCAAGGATTACATTTAAACTACAGATCTGGAACACTATAGACAAATGTAACAAAGTAATTAGAATTCTGTACCCATTTATCAATAGGAACTCGACTTTATCTGTGGAAAATAAATTAATTATAATGAAATTTAATATTTTGCTGTACGGTTCTCCAGTTTGGGGCGACTGCGCAAAGACCCACATTTCGAAGCTACTGGTAGCACAGAACAAACTCTTGAAGATGATATTTAATCTTCCCTTTTACTACTCTACCACCAAACTACACAGGAAGGCCAATTTGAAAACTATAGATGAAAAAATATTAATTTTAAAGGAGAAATTTAATTTTAAATTACAATTTTCTGAAAACGAAATCATTAAAAATATGTATCAACAATTACTATAAAATACCAATTTTAAACTTTTTAATAACTGGTAACAATTTTATTTTAGTTTTAAGTATAGTTATAATTTCGAAGTCAAACAAGGTTTTTTCTCATTTTTCCTTGAAAATGTAAACTTCCCATTTAAATAAGTATTAAATATATAAAACATTCAAAATATCTTAGTTGTGAAGACTTTAAATAGCCTAAACTCTATAAAAAAAATTACTAATTATTTTAAGACAAAAATTAGTATATTATTGGAAGATTATAAATAAAAAAAAAATATGTTTGGTGGTTCCATCTTTATTTCTAATATGAACCGATTAATTCGAGTACAAACTTCTGATGTAATAAATGATGTTTGGGTCAATATCGATCCTTTTTAGTACTTCTAGAAGTTTGTTATGATTCGCCCTGTCAAAAGCTTTTTCGTTGTTAATAAAACATAGAAATAAATCTTTCTGCACGTGTTTACGATTTTGCACCAGCACTTAACAGCATCTCTGACTACAAATTGAGTTTTTTTCAAGTGCTCCTCGCACCTTTCATAAATTCTTATGTGAAGTGCTTTTAAAAATATTTTTAATGCATGACTCATCAAACTTATTAATGTATAATCTCTACAACGTTTCGCGTTGGGTTTTTTGGCAGTGTTATAAAGACGGGTTTTAGTCATTCTTCCGAAAATATTCCAGTTGTGTAGATTTTATTGAAAATTGCTTTAAAATACAAAGATTTCAATCATGAATAAGATTAAGAACTTTGCTTGGCACTTCATCTAGATCAGGGGCTTTGTCGCATTTAGTCATTTTAACCGCACTACAAATTTCACTTTTGTTATAGGAAGATAAGGTCATCACTAGCAAAATAATTTCTCTCAAACGGATGAAATAGAAAAACTTTTAAACTTCTAAATCCATTATTATCTGGTGTTGATGATCTATTAAGCAATATGAGTTAGGCTTTTTAGCAAGACCCGATAATTCATTTGTTTTTTTTTATGAAGATTAAAATCGTCATGCAAATGTTGAAGGCTTTCTAATTCATTACATTATTTTGTCATCCAGTTTTCTTTTCCTCTTCTACATTGTTTTAATTTTTTTATTTAGTCGGTTGTACTCCAAACGATTTCTCTTCTTAGATTCTCTATTTTTTCCCATCAAAGACAGGATATTGTGTGTCATCCATTTTTGCTCGGTGGACCCTTTCGTCTTCCCATGGAATAAGTGGAATTTTAATTTAAAACTGTTTTTGCATCGCGGCTTTTGTGTTTATGTTTATGAAATTCTGGCTTTCGTGTTTATGTCTTTGAGTTTGTCCAGTTTTGGTACTTAGGAGTTCTTTTGCGTTTAATTATAGACGTTTGCTTCAATCTCATTTTTGCCAGGAGAAAGATATGGTCAGGTAGGATATTCGCTCCTGGATATATTGATACCTTAAAGATTGAATTAGCAAATCGGTGGTTAATTACAATATAGTATATTTGGTCTTTAACTATAATTCATTGGACTATTAGATGGTGCTGTCCAAGTATACAGTCTTCTAAGGAGAAGTTCATACCAAGTGTTTGTCAGCTTAAGATTCAATTCCTACAGAATTGAAGCAGTCTGTCTCCTATTTTATTTCGTGCGCCCAGTCCAAACGGTCCAATGGATTTTGCTGTTTTCCACCCACCCATTTTTGCGTTGATATCGCACATTAATATGCTTATATTATTTGGCTTTGTTAGCTTGAAGATGTTTTTGATTTCATTATAAAATTTTTTGACTTTATCATCGTCCTTTTCAACTGTGGGAGCCTGATATTTAAACCTGATATTAAACTTGAATGATATTTAGGTTTACCAATTTGGCATTAAGTTTGAGAAATAGTGTTCTGTCAGAATATGGGACAAACTCATTCACGTATTGCCGCATATATTTTGGAATGATAATTCCAACGCCTCTACGCTCACTTGTGTAATTGTTGCCTGAAGAGTATTCTCCGCAATTTGACTATCAGGTTTCACTGACTCCAAGAAAATTTAAACGATGCAATTCCAGGATCGCTTTGTGCAATTTTCCAAGGTTGCAATTTTTAGATTTAAATTTTGGCTTTTACCTCCAGAATAATCCATCCTCTGGTTGCAGGATACTGAAGGTCTTTCTTGTTGGTATTACATTTCCATGTGACTTTTCTACGAATATTACTTCAGTTGTTTCCCGCTGTCTACTGAAGAGTTTGCTAGTTTCCTTCTGAAGATGAGAGCAGGAATTAAGTAGGGGTGGCTAAGTGGTGCCAACTTGATACAGCAACATATATCGCATCATATCCCATTTTGGAAACCAATAAGAAATGATGATTAATACGTGCACTGAAAGTTCTAAATTAAATATCAAAAATTTTTTACACATTCATACTTAGAAATCTTCAGGAGCGTTCCACGTTTCCAGGTTTGCAATGTCTGCAAATCAGTTATGCAATATCATTAATATGGTAGATAAAAAGTAGATATGAAACGCGTGTAGAAAGGAAAAAAAAGAAAAATGGATTTAGAAAAGAAAAATTGTATATGAAAACTTATTATTAAAAATTTGCTTTTAGAATTAGTTAACAGCAAATATCGAAAAAGTCAACATTTTTATTTAGGAAAAAAAAATTTGGATTATACATATTTTTATTTGATAGTTTAAGTAAAATTATTAGTTTTAAAAACTACGGTAGGCTAGTCACCTACCTAGCTAACTCTCTATGACACTATGAAACTAGTGCATAAGAAATCATGCACTAGCCCTATACTCCTCCTAGGAGTGAAGAAGGAAAAAAATTAGTTTTAAAAAGACACAAAAATTACAAAGAACGTAGTCAAGTAATTCTTCAATATCCGATATTTTTCTGTTATACTCTCCTATTTCATAATGTTTTTGCAGTAGTTATAAAAACGCTTAAAATTTTTTTAGAACTTTAAGCACAACTGCTACTTTTAAATATCCTTTTTCTTATAGAATTTTTCAGATTTTGCAATTTGGATTAATTATCGAACGTGCTTTATAATAAAACTTAAGTTATAGAAAATCTCCAGTCTAATGAGTTATGACATAGTGTTAAAAAGTATATCACAAAAGTTTTTCTTTTTTTTGTTTTGCAATTTAAGCTACTTACATACACATGTATTTACTTGAAGTTCTAAAGGAACCTCTGGCAAATACGAATGAATTACACTTATTCAAAAGTACTGTTTTGAAAAGCTAAAAAGTAAAAGCAAAAGGAAAGGTAAATGGTTAGTGCAATAGGGTTTTAGAGATACACAACTGAATCTTGGAAAATCCAATCTAAAATCCATCTACCTCCTGTGCTTTCATGTCTGTCTTCATCAAATTAGTACTAATATATTCCACATTTTATATTAAATTCAGAAAAAAAACTTAATGCTCATAAATAATTTTGTAGCCTTCCAATATAGTTATTAAACTTTATTTATTTACTTTATATCAAAATAATTTTGAAGCAGTGAACTTATTTGACGTGTTCGGATCCCTTTTAAGCTTCGAACATTTAATAAATGAAAGATAAAATTTATAAAGATATTTTAAGTATTAGTAGTCTCTTTAGTAATAAAAGGACTACTAATATTGAAAAAGAAACATTTTTCTAAAAGTTATATTGTATTATAAAGAATCATTTTTAAAAGTAAACTTATGACGATCAAAAGCATTTTTTGTATAAATTTATTTGAAATCTTAAACTTATTTTAACTGTTGAACTACAAAGTTTATAAAATCTTAAATTTAATTGAAAATATTAAATAATTGAAAAAATTCAATTTAATTGAAACAATTATTTCTGAATTATTTTTAAAAATTTGTAAATTTTTAATATTAAAAATTGTATAATTTACAATTATTATAAAAAATTATAAAATATTAAATTTTTATCATAAAATATTAAATTTTATTGCCGAAGCCTTAACTTTACATGATGGTAAAAATGCCTAGAGTTTCCCCTGTGAAACATTTATATAGTAGAAAAGCATTAGAGGTTACCATCTGATATCTACAAATCTGCAAATGTTTTTTTAATTGAGTTATTTCCGAGTTTTTTTGGGCATAATCAATTTTTTTTATTTTTATATTTTAACCCCCTTATATTTTAACTGGGCACAGTTCTCATGATCATATTAAAAAATTATCGATGTCGCCTACAAGATTTACATTTATTTGAAATTTACATTATGCATTATCGATACCATCATCATAATAGACCATCATTTCTTTTTGTATCTTACTTCGCTCCTGGGAGAATCGGGCTGATACTTGATATTGTATATAACCATGAACCAGTTTCTTGCGTCAGTGAGTTTACCGTTAATATACCATCGTAATAAATTTTTATGTTGATATTGCTGTACCTGCAATGAGAAGAAAAGCAAGAGAACACAAAACTTCAATTATTTTATAAAAGAAAACTTGTGTATACATTTGGTTTATATAAATTCAACTGCTATTTGTTTTTTTATTTTTAATAACTTTCCAATGTTATCTTTACAATGCTATCAAATAATAATAAACTCACATCACTACCAGCTTGTACTCCAATTTACACATAATAATGTAAACACTCACATAATAATGTAATTTTAATACTAAACTCATTTTTTACCACTTTTCCAAAAATTTTTTTGAAAAAAGTGCTTATTAGTTTCACTCTGTCCGTCCGTCCGTCCTTCCGTCCGTGGACACTTTTTTGTTTACAAAACTTCTACACCCTTGAAGATAGAAAGCTAAAATTTCATACGTACATAAATCTTCACTAGAAACTTATTTCTGTAGAACAAATTTTTACCTACCTCCCTCCCTTTAGAAGTTATACCCCCACCCCAAAACCCTAAAAATGGCCTTTTTTAACTATTTGTTGCAATGAAACCATAAGCATTTTTGAAATTTTGCAAACGCAAAAAGGCAGTGGCTTGTTTCCTCTAGCGTGGTATACTATAATTAAACTTTAGAAAAACAAAATGGCCGTTCAAATTTACCGTTATTAAAAGTCCTTTTTTTTCCAAATTTTTGATGCCGTTTTTCTTCTAGACCCCAGCACGTAGAAGCTTGAAATTTTAGGAGCTTTTAGATATTAACAACTAGTTCATTTCGTTAGAAGAAAATTTGTTACCATCTCCAGCACCTCTCAAGTTATCGCCTCTTGAATTTTGTAAAATTTGAATTTTTGACACCTTATATTTCCGAAACCGCAAGCTTTTTCAAATTTCTATAAACGCAAAAAGCTAACGGCAAATTTCATGAAATTAAAAAATATAATTATTTTTCTTATCTCACACAATTAACCCTTAAAATCGAGCATTATGTTAACCCTTCTTTATATTAATTTTTGCTTTATTTCAAAGACTGCATAAATCGATCATCTTAAATATATGCAATCCTAGAAATAGTTTTGTATATGAATGAAAATAATTTTAATAGTGTGACAGCTATACATAGACTGTATTGAACAGCAGAATTTTCACTTGTTGAAGGGAAAAGTGCTACAATACAAACCATTGGTTTGACCCAACTTTATTTATAATTCTGCCTTGTTTATTTTAGTCCATTGACAATTTCCATTGTTCCCTCAAACTTTAAACTTTTTATCATGACATATTTCAATTAGGGTATTTGTTTCTACTTTAACACTATAGAAAATAATTTTTATTGTAATATGACACCAATGGTGTTTTGGTTTATTACTTCTTAACAGTTTTTGCTGTTATAAGATTTGATTTAATTTTGAATTGTTAGAACATTAGAATTGTTAGACATTTTGAATTGTTAGAACATTAGAATTATAATTCAAAAAAACGTATCAAAGGATTTAGATATCTTAATAACTTCAATAAGCTCTTATTAAAGTTCTGATATCTTGGGAACCATAGATCTTATGACTTGATTCAAAAAAACTTGTAATAGCGGCTAAAAGAACAACAGAAAATTAAATATCCAAAAAAGTTCTACCATTTTTTTGGAACCCTACTTTTTGGACAAAATTGAGAGGTTTTACTTTTTTTTAACGTTCTTTATTATTATTACAGGAATACATTTTTTTAATATGTCTGTTCGACTTCTGGCTCCCATCATAATTAAATTAATACGAAAAGTGCAGTCATCACTGCACTTTTCGTATTAAATCACTGTATGAACGGAGTAGTCGCAGTCAATCACTGTGATTGAAAAATTACGGCTTGTTTTCAAATCTACTCAGAATATTCTGAATATGTCAAAAGAAAAATTTGAGGAGTACCTAGCAATGAGAACAAAGAATTTGTATTGATCTGTGAAGTAACGAGTATTCATAAATTCGAAAAAGTAACTAGATTGCACCTACTGAATGCAAAGTAGGAGCCTAAATCATCTCCCGGAGTTCTATCTTTTCAATAAATTCGCTTATCTTGTGAGGGCCAATTGCTGCAGCCCGTCAGCCTGCCAAAACAGAGCTTCCCAGAAACCTCAAGGTGCATTGTGGTCTCCACCTCTTCCTCAGCGAATCTACAGATATCAACGCCCTGGATTGGGTATAAATATTTCGACTACCTACTTCTTGTGAAGGCCACCGCCATAGTGTTGCTCAGATTTAGACGGAGAAGCAGCGTGACGCGTAATCGTTAGCCGATATAAGACAATCTCCGTTTCCAATCAAGAATGTCGTTCTGATCTGATTGCCCACTACGTTTACTCCATCGTTTTCAATAAGAACTATGTGACATTAATTAGGGCAAATGAATAAAGATGATTCTGACCAACCGCTATGACTAAAGGGTATATCCCAGGTTACTTTTAAATATTCTAATAAAATACTCGTAGGGTAAAAAGTATTTCAATTACATAAACAATAAAAATTAGGACGTGGGGAACGTGGAGAATTGCATACTCTGAATTTCCTTGTACTAAAAATTCTAATAAGAACTCACCTCTAACGTTCGCATTGTTTTCGCATTCCACGAGAGGACTTACTTTTCTGCTTGTTGCAGCTGCCTCGTTACCTGCAAAATATGCTGATGAATCTATCACTTTCACACTAGTAACTTCAGTGTCGATGCAGACTTCGATATGAAATTATCCAGGTCCCAAATTATGAATTCTAAAAGAAAAACAAAATCAATATCCTTTCTTAATAGAATGCAAGTTCTGGCTAGATTTTACCTACAATCTCATATTACCTCTATATCTCTAATGGGCAACCCTTAATCTGTCCTCTATGCCCCCAATTTTCCTCCATTAGTGCGAACTCAAGTTATTGTTTGGTGAACCTCAGTGCCAAGACAGCCGAAGCTGCTTTGTCGAAGTGAAGATTCACTTGGGGTATCCCGGTTACTTTTTTTCCCCTTTTTGTTTAAAAATTTCTTATTTAAAATTTTTCTTGGTTATAGAACGATCTTTCCCTCTAACCAAAATTTTCTCATCTGGAGACAGTTTTCTGAAACTTAGGCGCCATATCCATCGGATAAACCTTTTCAGCGCCCGCTCCTACGTCCATCATGGTGTATTTCATTTAGTCGGAGGTTGCTCTGCGCTGACACCGACCCGTGAACAGAGATCTTCTCAAATTGGTACCTCAGAACGTGATCCACCCCTTTAATGGTGTTCGCTGATGCCACATCTACTGCTGTCTCTAGCCCATTGTCTGCTCCACCTTCTTTGTTTTTTGTTTTTAATTTATTACGTAAATTTAAAATCAATAAATCGTAAATTAAAATACTTTTTACTTCGTAATCATTTTTGAAGAAGTTCAGATTTTGAAACCTTTAATACATTTTTTGAATTTGTAAATCAGTTGTATTGAATTAAAAATTTAAATCATAAAATATTCGAAGTCGCCATCAAATTAAATCTGATAAAATCAAATATCTTTAATTGAATCTGAAAATTTTTAATTTTATAAAAACTTAAATATTTAAAGTTGGTTGCATAAAATTTTCGTTAAAAAGAAACAAGAAATATATATTAAAAAATTCATAAAGAGAAATAAAATTTGATAGAAAATTTAAAACCAAACCATTTTTGATTTTTATTTAAAATTATATTTTTAGTGTCGTAACATTTTCAGAGCTCAATAAAATTGCAAGTGAGGTCTTTTACAAATATAATTTAAACCTTTGTTTTAGATATAGAATTTAAAATTCATTTTGAAATAAAAAGAAAAAAATAAAACCTTCGAATATTTAAATTGGTCTAAAAATTTAAAATCCTACTAAAAAACCAATAAACCACTTACGCATGATAAAGTTTTATGGGTTTTGAGAGCAAACCTTTCTGAACATATCAATTTGATATAAAAGCTTTCATAATAAAACACATGATGTAATGCGATATATATCTATCCAAATTTTGTATGAACATAGCAAGGGGTCTTAGAAATTATTTGTGTGAACGAAATTCTAATCTTTTTAACTCTGCGATTATACACAATGTAATATTCAACCTTCAAATTTAAAACAAGTCGAATAGTAAATTCACTAGAAAAATGCAGATTTGAAAATGTCCGATTTTTGTTGTCTTTCAAATAGAATATGTTGAAATTACTGTGAAAATTTTTTGATTTAAAATGAAAAGAAAAACAATTGAAAGGAACTATTATAATTATTTTTAAGTTAGAAAAAATAAAAAAATTTTTATAATTTTTGAAAACGTACTTAATAAAATGCGAGTACTTAATAATAAAACAAAAATGCATATGTATTTTTGGGCCACAAGTGACTTATAGCTCTCGGGACTAAGAAAAACTGCAAAGGGTTGCATGCATTAATATCAAAAACAGAAATGGCGGTGCTATTGGGACCTAAATTATTCCACATGGTCAAGGAGCTTCTGGACGGCTATGACCAGAAAAATTTTAAGAGGGTCATGGAAAGTTCCAGGAACCAGGTGGGAAGTCTCATTGACATTGTCATCTCAGACGAAATTTGTTTCTGGAGGGCATTGATACCTGTAGATACTCTGAGAATGAGGTGGAGATCACAATGCACCTTGAGGTTTTTGGGAAGCTTTGTTGTGGCAGGCTGACGGACTGCAGCAATTGGCCCTCACAAGATAAACCAATTTATTGAAAAGATAGATCTCCGCGAGATGTTTTAGGCTCCTACTTTGTAATTGGTGTGTACAACCCAGTTACTTGGCCCTATTTATAAATACTCGTTACTTCACTGATCAATACAAGCTACTTTGTACTCATTACTAGAGATTTCTAGGTAAATTTTTTTTTTGACATATTCAGTATAGTCCAAGTAGATATAAAATCAAACCTTCATTTTCAATCACAGTGACTGATTGTGACTACTCCGCTCATACACTGATTCCAATGACTGCATTTTTCATATTAATCTAATTATGATGTACTTGGGAGCCAGAAGTCCTACAGACATGATTTAAAAAATGTACTCCTGTAATATGAATAATAAAGAAATTCGAAAAAGAAAAGTAAATCCCCTCAACTTTGTCCAAAAAGTAAAAAAAATGTTTATAATAATTTAGCTAGATAACTTTTAAAAACGTACTTAATAAAATGCGAGTACGTAATAATTAAACAAAAATGCATATGTATTTCAATCGGACAAAAAAAACATTAAGCGTTATTTCTATAAATTACTTCACTTTGCAATACTTCGAAAAATAATTTCAACTTGGTTGCCTGATAGATTTATATGACGTTACATCATAAATACTGAATTTTAAATGTTATTAGAAAAATATAATTTATTGTTTATATAGTAACACGAATATATTCGTATGTATTTATATACATATGCACAAATGTACGTACAGCATTACATATTTTGCAAAATTATACAATTTAATTTACTTAATACAATTTAATAATTCATACATATTATAACGAAAAACCTTTTATTTAAGATGAAGATTTTTTTGTTTTTAGTTTATTTGATCTTTATAATTTTCAAAAAATAGTGGAATACTTAATTTTTTTGACGTTGCGATTAGCTATGACGTTGTGAGGTAATAGCAATAAAACATATACATATATATAGAAACAAACATATATATATATAGAGAACATATAATATATAGAACATATATATATATGAACATATATATATAGAACAAACCAATGATTTTTGAAGTAGCATATTTGCCTTTGACAAGTTAAAACATTTTTCTTAAAAAACGACCGCTATAATGGTATAATTTAAAAGAATTCATTAAAATGTCTACCAAAGAACACCAAATTTTTGCTTTTTTTTTAAATTGAAAATTACAATAAACATTAAAAACTTAACTAGGTGAGTTAAAATAAGTATATTTTTTGGAGGAAAGATATTTTTTTATCCTTATTTTCATAAGCCTACATTTCCGGGAAAACAAGGAGGTGAAAAGTGGAATATTGCTAAATTTGAAAAGCGATAACTTACAAGTGAAGAAATATGGAAATAGTTTAATTCAGGTTCAACAAAAGCAAAACACCATTATCAAAAGTTTGAAACTAGCGGTTGAAACTTGAATTTGTTTAAACTATAGGTTATTTTCGAAGGCCATTTTGTTATGATATTTTTGGCGTTTGCGGAATTTTTAAAAATAGTTGTGGTTTTGATGCAGTAAATTCGGTACACAACTTTTAGAGCAGCTGGGAAAACTTTCTTTCAGAACAATGGGTTCCTTTTTTTTAATTTTTTTCTTGAACTCTTTTTCTTTTAACATGAAACTGCTCAAATTTCCTTTGGTATTTCCTTTGTTTTTTTTTTTGGGAAATTGATCGAATCGAAATTATTAGGAAAGCCGCTTTTTTTTACAAAATAATTAATGTATGTCTGACAATACATATTTATCAAAAAATTTATTAACTAAAAACATTCCTTACAATATTATCAAAACCAAATCAACAAAAAGCTAGTCCTGTTTTGATTTTAATTTAACTGCAAAGTATGCAACTGAAGCTATGTATACCTATGTATAAAATTTGTACAATCAAAAATCAATATTGAAATTATTTTTTCACAAAAATTTTGACACTCAAAATTAAGAACATTCAAATAACATTATATCAAATAATATTATACAACAAGAATGTTTGTGGAAATTTACAATACATACATAAATAATAATAATCAAATTGTTTTTAGTTTTTTTTTCAGTTAAAGTTGTTTTGAATTGTTTGCTTTTTCTTTTCCCAATCTCATCTTAATGATTGTTTTCCAAAACTTTTTCAGCTTCTTGATGCACCATTTTATATGATAAACTTAACATAAAAATAAAAACCATCTTAGATACAGTCTTAAAATAAAAATTGCAAGAAAAGTTTAAATACATGTATATATGTAAGTTGATTGTTTGCAAGTTATTAAATGTTTTTTTGTAAACTTTTTAACGATATTTTAACGATATACGATTTCTTAATATTAAAAAAGGTTTAAAAAAAAATTGGGTTATTTTTTGAAATTATTAATCCAAAAATATATTCAACATTAAACAGTTAGTCCTAATTTTGCGTTGTCCATTTCATTTTAAACTAGTTTCACAATTCCATATCGAAGGTACGTTGAACTACATGAAATGAAATAAAAAGACATTTTTATATATTATTACGACTAAAATAAAACAATAAATGAAGAATTGTAGATATATATATGTAATTGTAGATGTATATATGTAATTCAAATATATGAATTTATATGTACATGTATATGTATACGTTAAACAAGAAATTTTTAATGTAAAAAACGAAAATATACTGACCACAAAATTTTGCAATACTTAGAATACACTAGAAGCCCTTAGCGCGAATCGCACAAAGTTGAAATATGTTCCAAAATATTGAAACAAAATTAAGACATGAATGTATATATCGTCCCACATAAACAATTAATTTAATGTAAAGAGAGAATTTAAAATTAAATCGGTTTGTCTTCAACTCGCAAAATTTAAAAACTTATATCCATATACCGCCCCAGCAACAGTCATTGTAAATGATTTCGATCTTCACGAAATATAAAAATGTTGCAGGTCGGCGTGCCTTATCATTTTGCTTTAGAACCTGCATAATATTTTTGCATAGTATGCTTAGTATGAAGCTCCACAAGAACACACACATATAGAAATCAAGCTCCTATATCATGTCATAAATAAATCGCATGGGTTTCAATTGATAAACCTACACTACAGTATGGCGATAATAAGTGCGGGTTTTACCGTAATACTTGCCCAAAAAAAAAACTTTCCATCAAAAAAATTAAAATTTTTTAAAAAAGTCCGCTTTTTTTGTCGATGCTTTACATCTACTTCTACAACTTTGCTATAGATAACTTTGGTAGACGCACGCATCATAATCTACAAAACGAGAAAATGAAACGAAAAAAAAACATAACATGCAATTCAAGTGAAATTAATTGATGTTCTAAAACTACACTTGACCGTTTCTATTTGTTTTGCTTTTCTTATATAGGTGTATGTGTACATCAATGTGTACAAAATTTGTATTTGAGCATGTGCTTTTGCTTAAAAAAAATTTAAAATTATTTTTTTCTGCTTCTTTCTCATTTTCATACAATGATTCAACCGCTCAAAAAAAGAAGAGGAAAAATTTGAAGAAATTTGAACCGAATTTGAAGAAATTCTAACGTGAGTTTATTTTGTTTATGGCATGGATTGATCAACTTTTGCGATATGTTCAGTTGCAGAGGTCTAACTGAACCTTTTTGCAAGTCTATTTTACATTTTGCAAATATATAAAAAAATAAACAACGAATTCCCTTGAAATTGAATGTTAAAATTTGGGGTATTAAAATAATGAATCTAAAATGTATTTGGAATGATCAGGGTTCGGAAACCAAATTGAGGATAGATTTTACATTTTTTACGATGGAATTTCATGAAACTTGATATTTGCCTTCTGGCTGTTACTGAATCAGCTTTCTGGCTAGTGAACTTTTCCAGGGGTTCGGGTAGCGCAAAACGAAATTTTACTATGCCAAATTTACACTTTTCTAGGTATGTTAGTTAAAAGCTTGTTAACTGCCTTAAAATTAAAATTAAGTTTTCAAAATCCATTTTCATAATATTCTATCACACTTTCACTAAACCAGTTACGATTCTTTTGCAAAAATAAATTTGTAGTATAGACTTATGCATTCATAAAATTCTAGCTTTCTATCTTGAAAGGTGTAGAACAAGCATGTCAAACTCATTTTTCATCACCGGCCATGTTAGGGTGTCCGAACATTGCTTCAGACCGCACAATAAAAAAAACTTAAACTACTAAATTATAATTTTTAATATTGATTGAGGATTTTGATCTATTAAACTTGATCTTTCACCACTGAAATCCTATTGTAAATTTTTTAAACTTTTGTTTAATTTACTTTAAAATTTTATTTTGATGCCTAATGCCTTAGAGATATAAGTTAACATATTAATTTTTTTTAGTTTTTTCTTTTATTTAAAATATTAAGGTAAAAAAACGATCATAATTATTACCCTTTAAATATTTTATGCATAAATATAAGACATATGGTAGCCCAGTTAAATGCTTCCTCTTTTCTATTTTATATAGGTAGCTTTCAATTTGAATCAACATTTCATGAAAATCTTTCCATTTTCTTATTTAAGTAGATTTTTAATTTCGTCACTTTTATTTGTATTGCATTTATTTTAGGCTATAGGCACGTGTGACGTGAATCAGTCAATTTTATTTGTATTTGTATTGCATTTTATTTATATTTGATCAGTTCGTTTTTATTTGTATTTGTACCTAAATATTTTAAATAAAATAATAAACTAAAAAAAATTTATTATTATAAGTTAACATTTTAAGGCATTAGGGATTAAAATAAAATGTTAAAGTAAATTAAACAAAAGTTTAATATAAACTCAAGTGATTTAAAATTTTTTTTCTTCAAATTTAAGAAAATACTTATAATTTTTTATAACAGTTTTTTAAGTAAGTGTTAAATTTTTCTCTATGTTTCAAACTTTTTGGTATATATAAGTAGAGACATTTTGTGGTTCAAAACTCGTTACTAGTTTACAAACCCATTACAAATTTCTTTCTTTAAAATTTACCATAAATACGAATAACCCTATATAATTATAACCAAAGAGCATGAAATTATATATACAGAAGGGAAGTGAACGAAATGAAAGATTGAACGAGATTTTATAATCGGTCAGTGAAAAAAGTAGTTCGTTCAGAACGAATCACTCAAATGAACGATATTGCCCATGACTACTTGCATTTGATTGTTTCCATATGACGTTTATCATGTTAGTTCTTAATCAATTAACTTAAGGAAGTTTTATAACTCTGTGAACAATGTCCCCTTAGTTTTTGCAAAGTTCATCAATTTTTAGGTCATTAGAATATTATCTTAAATAATATTATCAGTTATTCGTTTTTTTTCTTTTGTTATAATTTTTAGTACAGATAAAATGATACAGATTTCATTACCAAAGATTCATATATTTAAAAAGCATCTAATTCAGTGTAAAATTTTTCGCCAGAAAAGAAGCAGTATATGTGCTTATTAATCAGCTTAAATGAAACAAGTATAACAATTAACCAATTGCTGTTATACTATTTATTCTTTAAGAGTAAATGGAAAGGAAGATAAAATAAAATACAAACAAAAGAAAGAAAAAAAAAATCTGATGTGATCAGCACACAACCGACCGCAACGTGTATTATTTAGTTAAGCGAAAGTGTTACAGAATATTATAAAAATGTTTGTTAAATACTTATTCCAATTTTTAAGAAATTAGTAAGGTTATAGTTAACATACCTAGAAAAATGTAAATTTGGCTCTTAGTAGAGTTTCATTTTGTGCCGTCCAAATTATACGAAAGATCAGTAACTTCTGGTAACAAGCAGAGCTCAAATATTAAATTTCAAGAAATTTCACCAATTCGTTTCATTGCTTTAACCCCTTGAATTTAAATATTGAATTTCAATGAAACCGGTTGATTATTTTTCTTTATATACGCAAAAATGTATATTTGGCTCGTAGTAAACGTCCAATTGCTGACCCTGAATTTTACAGTTAATTCATTTTTCGAAATTAAACTAAATTATTAAAGTGTAAGTGAATCATTATGTAAGTAATTTAAGTACACATAATTAAACCAAGTTTAAAAGAGTATGTTAATATTTAAGAAAGTGTGTGAAAGTTTTTTTCAGTAATTTAAAATCAAGTCAGGGGTGTAGAACCTTTTGTGAGAAAGATCTCAACATCACCCTTCCCCGAGATTTAACGTATTTAAAATGAGATAAAAAAATTTAATATGATTCGAATTAAAAATTGTAGTATGAAATATGAAAATTACAAGTAAAAAAAATTCATAAAGGTAAGAAAAATTTATCTATCTCCAAGAATTATTTAAACTCAACGTGACGTGGACCCTTGTGACTATTTGATTCTGACGCCAGAATGCTAAATGCAGGCTTCAAACGGTCAATTGAAATAGAAGAATTTCGTCCGTTTATATCTATCACAAAATGTTTTCTAAATCTTCTAATGACTTTGAATGGTCCGTCACAAGGAGGAGTTAATCCCGTTTTTACTTTATCAACCCGAACGAAAACATGTTGGCAATTATGTAAATCTTTTGGAATGAAAACTTTTTCTTTCGTCTCTCTCGGTGCTGCTGGAATTAGATTACGCATAGTTTCGCGAAGCCGCGTTATGACAGTGTCGCAGTCGTTAACATCTGGTTTTTCGTCGACAAAAATCTCACCAGGTTAACGGAGATTTTGTCCATATACCATTTCTGCCGGGGAGCATCCTAAATCTTCTTTGATAGCGGCCCGAAATCCCAAAAGCACGATTGGGAGCTCGGAACTCCAATGGATCGTGTTACCACGGGCATGTAATGCGGATTTAAGTTGTCGCTGAAATCGTTCTACCATTCCGTTCAACTGAGGATGGTAAGGGGTCGTGTGGATCTTTTGAATACCGAATAAACTCGTTAGTTCTGCCAATAACTTAGATTCAAATTGTGAATCCTGGTCCGTGGTTATCCTAGATGGGGTTCCGAATCGCGGAATGTAATTCTCGGCGAAAGTGCGCGCGACTGTCGACGCGGTTATGTCCCTGATAGCGTAAGCCTCAGGCCATCGCGAAAAACGATCCACAATTGTTAAATGTATGAATTGCCAGCGGAAATCGATAAAGGGCCTACCAGATCTATATGGATATGCTCGAATCGGCCCGAAGGTAGGTCAAATTTCCCGAATTGTGATTTTGTCTGTCGTTGAATTTTTGATCTTTGGCAAGCTAAACAAGCTCTAGTCCATTTCGCGACGTCAACATTTATTCTCGGCCAAAAATACATATCCGTTGCAAGCTTACGCGAAGCGCGAATTCCCGGGTGAGAAAAACTATATAAGTGTTCGAAAAAATTGCGACGCAAAGGGCTTGGAATTTAAGGGCGATATCGCGAGGTAGAGACCTCGCAATACACATTCAAACCAGGATTGGTTTGAAGGATTTTTAACTCCTAGTCGGTCTCCTGAGCTTCGGAACCTTTCCAAGATCGACAATGAATTTGCCGGA